ATGCTACCCTGCGTTTCTTTTTCCTTTCAGTATATAATTGTAGTATGTGTAAATGTCATAAAGTGTTGACATAATATAAAGGAAGGTTGACACGATGCAGTAGAAGTGTGGGTTAATGTCATAAAGAGTTGACATAATATAATGGAAGGTTGACACAATGCGGTAGAAGTGTGGGTTAATGTCATAAAGAGTTGACATAATATAATGGAAGGTTGACACAATGCAATAGTAGTGTGAGTAAATGTCATACATGTAAGAGTTGACATTTTGTAACGGAAAGTTCACACAATGCAACATATAGTAGTGTGAGTAAATGTCATAAAGAGTTGACATAATGTAATGGTAGATTGACAAAACTGAATAGCAGTGTGAGTAAATGTCATATGGAGTTGACATAATGTAATAGAAGGTTGACACAATGTAATAGTAGTATGAGTAAATGTCATAAAGAATTGACATAATGTAATAGAAGGTTGACACAATGTAATAGTAGTGTGAGTAAATGTCATAAAGAGTTGACGTAACGAAACGGAAGGTTGACACAATGCATTAGTAGTGTGAGTAAATGTCATAAAGAGTTGACATGATGTAATGGAAAGTTGACGCAATGTAATAGTAGTGTGAGTAAATGTCATAAAGAGTTCACATAATGTAATAGAAGGTTGACACAATGTAATAGTAGTGTGAGTAAATGTCATAAGGAGTTGACTTAAAGAAACCGAAGGTTGACACAATGTAATAGTAGAGTGAGTAAATGTCATATAGAGTTGACATAATGTATAGGAAAGTTCACACAATACAACAGTAGTGTTAGTAAATATCATAAAGAGTTGAAATAATGTAATGGAAGGTTGACGCAATGCAATTGTTGTGATCTGCTATAAGGCAGTGACGGCGTTCCATATAACAAACTATGTTCAATGGCTTTTTGAGAAAAAGCTAGGACAAATTGATCCTTCATAAATAACCAAGTAGCTGAAATCTCCGATCCGGAGGCGATGTCATCAAAATAATTTATAGAGATTTTTGGATGTTCTATCAGACCTACGTTTTATATAAATCATGTAACAATTATATAAAATAAACAGAATGGAACGAAAACCCAAGTACCTATACTACACGTTTTGTAACATTAAAAAATAAATGTTTTTTTCTTTGCTCATATTTTTGTCCTTTCTAAATTTATTTTCAAATCGTTCATTTACTCATATATATATTGATAAGAGGCAAGCAAAAAAAAAATTAAACAAACTAAATGGAGAAAGAAAATAAATTGAAAAGCAACACCAGACCAATAATGAAAAAAGTACATGAGTAGCATCCTTCCGATTTTTGCTGCGTAGTATAGCATATAGTTACATGAAAACAAATTAACAAAAAAAATAAAGCAGTTTATATGCTGTATGTACAAATACTAGGTAATTATTTCTTCTAGATGTGAAAGTCGTCTTCGTATGGATAATCTTAATCAACTCTCTGCAATGTGCGATTTTTGATAGGTAAGTTTGCATTATTAATATACAAATAATCCTTGCATGAGAGAGTATTCACTTCATTTCATCATTATATTTATGCTAGTTAGGGATATGGAAATAACGAACAGTATTCAAGATCAAAAGTCCATTAAATATATGATGATATATTAAGTTATGAAAACAAGTGTAATCAATCTAATAAGCAGATAAAATTTACACAAATACAAAATCTGTTATTGGTTGATTAATTGTTATTTTACGTCCCATTCGTGAATCTTCACCCTAAAATAGACGTAACCAATTGTGGTGGAGCAGCTTCAAATTTAGAACTACGTGCCAATTGTATACTCAGCATTCAAATATCAAAGAGCAGTGACGATTCTTTATCGTAACAACCCCTTCCAAGACACTGGAAAAAGGTTTTCAAGTTTCATCTCAAATACCTGTGACTTTCACGTTTAAAGTGCGTCGATTGGAGGGCGAATGATGTTTACGTCAAATGTTGGACGCGACTCAGAGCAACAAGAATCTAATTCAGACCTCCCAATCACGAGATGAACAAGACCGTTCCCAGAAAGGCATAAAATTCGGTCTATGAATGTTCCAGGGAATGGGTTGGGTGTGGAGGGGGAGTAAGCGTCTTCTGTCGCCCCGCCATTTCGGCCAATCGCTCTATTATCTTTGTTCATGTTTGTTTCATGAATTTGTTTATTATGTATCTCAGATGATTCGATACGTAAGGGCATGCTCTAAGTATGAACAATTTTTAAAACGAAGTAAATTATTGACAAAAAAGGTGACAAACAAAAATATTAGCAGTCTCGTTTAAAGTCATCATTTCTTAAGTTCTATGGTCGATACAATGACCTTTTCAGCAAATACAATTTATTATTAAGTCAAGTGCTGAATGACATTTTTCATACTTATTGTTAGTCCATTATTTGTACACTGAAACGAGGATTCTTTTTTTTCCTTTTTTACCCATCATGCACATGGCGGGTGTGACCGGTCGGCAGGAGATGCTCAACCCTCCATGGTACCTGATCCCACCTCTGATGTTTTGAAGGTCCGTATTTGCTCTGTTCCTGTTTTGTATTATGTTATGGACTTTTGTTCTTGGATACTGTTCGTTATCTCCATATGTTTCAGGTTGACGAAATCATCTAAAGTCTACTTCTGTATAAAAACAAAGGTCTAGGAATCTGTATGAAATCTGTTTATGTGGAAATCATTTTTTTCTCTCTCAGATATTTGACTCAAAAAGAAGTGACTTGGTTTATCGATGAAAATATTTGTCATCTAGAAGACCTACTTAAAAGATATAATCAGAGGGTTCCTAATACAGGTAAAAATATAGCATTTCTGAAAAGCACCTCTCTAAATTCCTTTCTATAAAAAGCGTATTAATAAAACTTACAACTTTAACGATCTGTTGCAATAGGAAACATGTTCGATTGAAGTAACACAGATCAATCAGATTTAATCCAACACCGATCGAGCCAAAAGTATTCCAGGAAAAATGGCGGACGTGATTTTAGCGTTATCGCGCTTGCAACATAAAAGTCACCCAAATGCAACAACAACAAAACAAACGCTTACCTTTAGTACTTTGTTAAATGTCCTTTGAATCGTATACATGCCATGATGCGTTTTGGGACGGATTTATAGAGATATTGAACATGATATTATTCCATGGTGAAATTCTGCCAAGTGTGTAAAATAACATCGAACATCTGATCAGGGGTCGTGATATCTCCGGCATGATATTGGATCTGTCTTTCAATTTTATGCCAACAGTTTTCAATGATTTTAATGTCCGGACTCTGGGCTGGCCACACCATACCCCGAATATTATTTGCACGTTTATATTCCTCTACAACACGAGCTCTACGTACCGGCGCATTCTCGTCTTGAAAAACGTAGTTATTTACAGGGAAATGTCGGGCAATAACAGGCCACAGGTGATTGTCAAGGATATTTATATATTTCTCGGCATTAATGTTACCTTGTCCCTTGCATAAAGTTCCTGGACCATACCAGCTGATGCATTCAAATATCAACCCTTTTTGTTTTGAAATCGCATAAATGCACTCCGGACGGTATGATTCCTGGGCCAATCTCCAGACATACACACGATAATTTTGCCCTATAACCACCTGACATTCATCACTTAATATGATAGGTTTCCAGTTTTGTTCAACAGTCCATCGTCGTTTGAGTAAACACCATGCTAATCTTTTTTTTTATTTATTACTTTAATCTCAGTTAATTCGTTACGCAAGAGCATGCTCTACGTATGAACAATTTCTAAAACGAGGTAAATTCTTGACAAGCAAGTTGAAGTAACAAAAATATCAGCAGTCTCGTTTAAAGTCATCATTTCGTAAGTTCTATGGTCGATACAATGACTTTGTCAGCAAATACAATTTATCATTGAGTCAAATGCTGACTGACGTTTTTCATACCAATTGTTAGACCATTATTTATACACTGAATTGACGACGGATTTTTCCGTTATTTCCTGATCATGACAAGGAGCACACTGCGTGTCTGATCGGTCGGCAGGAGATGCTCAATCCTCCATGGCACCTGATCTCACCTCTGATGTTTCGGAGGTCCTTGTTTGCTCTGCTCCTATTTTGTATTGTTTTAAGGACTTTGAGATTGAATATTGTTCGTTATATTCACATCCTTCTTTAACAACCATACGTTTTCATATCACTCTTCTGTAAATTTTGTTATTATGTAAAATCCGCTTGACTGTCAGTTCACTAATAGGTTCACAATAATTTCCATCATTAAAATCAGTTGTAATGTCCTTAAAAACGCTTCCCCGGTTCTTCCTAACCAAACAAAGTAAACTTGATTGTCTACGCTTTGACACTTTCCTGGGACGTCCCGAACGAGGAGCACTTTGCACACTTCTTCGCTGATGAAACTCTTTGAAAATTAATGTACATGTAGATTCGAGAATTTTTCGCTATTCCTGAGATCTCACTGACTTTATGTCTGTTTTTTTTTTCAACTCTACTATCAGCTGTTTTATCTGTAGTGGCAGTTCATTTGATTTTCTACCCATCTTGTTTACAGTATTTAATATTCGACAATTTAATTTTATCAGACGTAAAACATAACATCATGGTAAACTTTGACCTTACGCTGTTTCGGGGATGATGTCAAAATACAAAGAAGTGATCGCATAGTGATTTAAGACAATTTGAAAAAAAAAAACGCGAAGCGTGAACTTTTTACTTCCGCCATTTTTCCGCGAATATTTTATATCGTGCTTGTAAAAAAAAAAAAAAAAAACGGCGAGATTTGATGTCTGTTTTTGTCATTTTTTGAAGCAACTCTTAATTGTTAACTGCATACATATAATTTGTATCTAATGGTTTTTCAATGGAATTAGGTCACCAGTGCAGATTATTTGTTGTTTTTGAGGGGCAACGACATGATAACTATCATGCATGGAGGATGATCTTTCATTTAAAAGCTAAGGAGACTGTCTCATCTATAAGTAAAAAAATGAAGAAATGCCGCCAAAATGATGATGAAAAAGTCTTCACTTTGAACTGTGATATCTACAATAACAGTAAATGGCTTTTAAAACTGTATTTCATAATACAGATACTCTCAAAAACGCTTATTCTGCAGTATTGGTCTATTTAAATATCAAAGAAATTCGTCAAGGTATAATACGTTATTTTAAGTATCTTAATCTTTTTTTAACAAATGAGACATTCCTATCTCTTCAAAAATTTCAAAAAAGCAAAAATAAATGTTTTTCCCGTTATTCATGAGAGAAAATACTTTAAAATTTTGTTTTTGCATGTAGGCATTTTTTTGTACATTAGGATAATCAAAAATGATGTTATAGGTTCCCTTGGCGACATGTGTCTATCAAGCGAAAATTGTTTCAGCAATACTGTTTGTAGCAACAGATTTAATGGGAAATGTACATGTCAAGAAGGCTACCAGGAAGAAAATCGAAAATGTATTAAAGGTATTAAAACAACTATGTTTTAAACTTTTGGTCACTTTTCTTCCATTTTAAATAACTTTTAAAGAGTTCTTTTAATTGTAATTCTAATTGAATTTTGTTTATCACTCCTTTACTATGTGCATTGTTCTCCGATTTCCCACCTTTTTGGTTGTGGGTTTTTTTAAACGTTATAACATTTCCATAAAAATTACCTTTTTTAAGAAACTAATTCAAAGCTCAGTTATCAATAATATTTAGCATTTATACATGCATATCATGTACATGTATGTATAACATATTTTCAAATAAATGCTCTATACATTTATCAAGAGCATGCATTGCAGGCATACAAAAATATTTATTTATTCATCCGATTATTTAAGGAGGTTGGATTCCGCCATCAAAAGTAATGAGGATTTTTTATCAAGTATATTTTAAGAATTTTTACACATAGCTTTATTTTTAAAAATAAAAACAAAAAAATAGGGGTCAATGCGCTTCTTTTGGCGTTACAGGACATTTTAACTTGACCTTTTTGTACTGTAAATACGTATTTCACATAAATCATTATTTAAATTTTCCTCCAATATTTTTGTGCAAATAAATTATGTTAACAAACAGTCTTATTTCATCTTAAATAGACACATAGACATAAAATTTTTGACTACGACGAAGTTTTCAAGTTACTCCGCATGTTCAAATTATTTTACCTTTTTGCACTCAAACATTTTAATTTTTCTGGCATTAAAATTTAACAAGCGGAAAAAATTATTTAAAATAATGGCATTTTAATAAACTTAAGGAGAATAGTTAAAACTGCCGCATATATTCAGAAAAGAAAAGTAAAACTGGGGGGCTGTGATGTTAATTTTCAGATATTACTACAATAGTTTTAAGCTTAAATTATGGCCATTTTTTCATCATTTTTTACAATATATTTGCTGTTGCTTTATAGTTATCAAATATGATAAGAGAAATCATGACAGCTTATTTAATAGATAATTTAGTACATGTATAAAATAATCTACTGTACAAAATAACTCTGTGGACAGGCTGCATGTAAAAATAGGAATCCAAAATTAACATACTTTAAATACTTCGAAAGATAAAAATATGATTATTTTCTAAATCTGATTATAGTTAAATTGGCAACGTAAAATCGAAATTTATTGTAAGAAATAAAACTTTATGCAGAACGTTTGAAATATACGTAGGGATAGAAATTTTATCAAAAGCTCTGGAGCAAATCTCGTTAAGGTACATAAGGACGTTTGATCCTGCGCTTTTGAGTCGATTTTGGCCTGGACTTTTTATTTTAAAACTCTGCATCATTTTAAGTTTTGACATTGAATTTAGATTCTACAAGCAAATTAAAGTATATCCATTGCAAACACTGTGGAAGGTTGGCGGAAGGTTTTTTTTAGAAGAAAATTATAAATTTTATCTTTTGAACTACGTACTTATACAGTACTGTTAATTTTAGATTTCTGCCGGTTGCAGACAAAGCTATGAAATGTGTTATTCTTGTTCTGAAATATCTATTAAATTATTTCTTATGAATTCTTTCGACGAATTATGACAAATATAGTAAATATATTCTGAACGTCCAGGAAAAAATTGAACCAATTTTAACATAAAATTTACACATTTTTAGTAATTTCTAAAATTTTCATCAGACTCCCCTTTTTGATGTTCTTTTCTAAATATTTAAGATAACTTTGACCCATCTGCTTAAAATCTGCAAATTTTAAGCCTTTAAAGTAATTTTCTTGCTTATTAAATTTTCAATGCCAGAAAAATCAAATTTTGTGAGCGCAGAAAGGTCAAATCATAATTTGAAACCTTTTTTAGTCACAATTTTCAAGTGTCTTTTTAAAATAGACGACACAATTTATTTTGTTTCATGCTTTATTTGAATGAAAATGTTGGACGGAAAAATTTTTAAGAGGTAATTTTAAAATAAGACACATATCTCAGTGCAGTAGGGTAATATTCAATGTACTGTAGCGCCAAAAGAATCGCATTGACCCCCATATTTTGATTTTATTTTTGAATAACCTATGTGTATAGAAAGTAAAAGTATACTTGACAAAGAAAACTTCAAGAGGTTAAATATCAGGAGCCAATTCGTTAAAGTATTCAAGATAAACTACTCAATTGTATTTTCGAATCTCTGCATCCATAGAAAATTTAACACTTCGGGAAAACTGCAGCATCCGTCGTCAGTGCAGACAATCAAATGCAGAATGTAAAAACAGTGTATGTTCTTGTAAAACAGGGTATCTACAAATTGAAAAAAAATGTGTGGAAGGTAAGCAAAGTTATAACATCTTTCGTATGATTGTAAATCGATTAAATATGAATACTAGTAGTTAGATAAGAGTCAAGAAAAATGATGATGCTTAATAGTGTTGCTCCCGTTTTGATTTTAAGAATTGTTTAAAAAAACAAAACCAGTTTTGCAGTTTCAATCATCATTTAAGGAAAAGTTTGTCATTCCCTCCAATTTTTTTATAATAATGTTTAAAAAGTTGGAAATATTTTTTTTAATGAAGATTCGAAGTGGTAAACTGACCTTTATTTTTATATAACCACAGATTTTCCCATCTTTATATTATTAAATTGATAAGTATATTGTATTGATTTTTATAATACATTTCATTCAGGTGGGTTATTATTTCTTATTCATTTGTTCGTATAAAAAATAAGTTGGAATTTTTTTTAAAGGTAGGTTGTATTTATAAAATTTTTATAATACTTTCATTCATCGGGATTATAGTTTAATATGCGCATTTTTGAACTTTGTGCGTAATATTTTTATCAAATGGATTTTTAAAAAAAAAAATGGGGATCACCTTTGAATAGATAAAATTGTTAAACTTACCAGATCAAACTAAAAGAACTCATAATTAAATATAACTGGTCAACACTGTAGATACATTAACAGATTTAGACTTATTTTAGCTAAGACATTTGTACATGTAGATAATATATCTTCACGAAACCATTTCGTGATTATGCACCTGGCATTAAAATTCATCTGTTTATATACATGTAGTTGTTCAATAATGCTCGAAATCTTCGCAGTTGCAATCTAAATTTGAAATATCGACAGAAGAAAGTGGGAGCGAAATGAGTATCCATGCTTTTCTGGAAGGAAAAATGGAGAAAAAATGCAGTGCTTCCTAGAAGATAATATTTTCCTCAAAGCGATTGAATTTTACTACCTCTTTTTTTAAATAAAGAATTGGTTTACTACTATAAAAAGGAAACTTTCATTTGCGTACTTGATTTTTTTTTCAAAAAAAAACGTCTTAGGAAAATAATTAAAATCTTTGTATAATTTAAGTTTTCTCCTCTACCAATGTAGAAAATAAAACTATTGGTTCGCAATGTCAGTATCATGAGCAATGCACAGGGACACACAATGCTGGTTTATGCCTGGGAAATTCTTCACATCTCCAGTGTAGCTGCAGCAAAGGTTTTGTAGAGAGGAACCGATCATGTATTGGTATGTTATTTACATGGAATAATTACAAAGCACCTGAACCCATAATATTACTATATTTCATGCACACGTATGCCTGATGAAAACTATAAAATTTTCGATATTATCTGTTTATCAACTCATGTATGCAGTGGTCTGGATTCATTTTAAATAAATCGGTTATTGATATGTGTTGGTGGGCGTTTGTGTGGAAAACGATTTTTTTCAAATCCAACATCATTACTCTCTCATTTACTTTCATTGCACATGATTGTCCTGCATTGTCAATTTAAGAATAGTTGATCTTTTATTTTACATTTGATGTGCATATTTTTGAAAAATAGTGCAGATAAATTATACTAAGATAATCATAATTTTCAAAATCTATTCCTCAAAAGTAGACATTTTTTTAAACAGGGAATTTAAAACTTGGAGAATCTTGCAGCCTAGATAAGCAGTGTCAACAATATAATGCAACATGTAAAGAAGGGAATTGTTCTTGTGAAAATGGATATATTCAAATTGAAGCTAACTGCGTTGAAGGTGCATGCTTTAGAAAATAAACAAATCTGAAAAATAAAAGTAAACTAAATTTCTCTTTTCATGTAATCGTTGATATTGCATATTATTCCATTTATTAATTTAATTAGATCACACAAATAAAAGTATATTTTGTTGTAAAAAATAAATGGATAGTGTAGTAGAACTTCTCTTTCTTTTTCATCTATTTTATTTTTTTATATACAAAAAGGACATAAGGCCCTTAATGCCCCGTGCCAGTATCATCAGCAATGCACAAGTACACCAAATGCAAGTTTATGTGTCGGTAATTCATCCTCTTTCCTCTGCAGCTGCGGTGTTGGATTTACCGAATGGAATGGATCATGTATTGGTAAGTACTTGATATTTTTTGCATATTGTGGCATTATAATTTTCATCACAATAATTTTCATCAGAATTGTAAGATGTTTATGCTGACTTGTTTGACATTACTTCAATAACAAGTGATAAGTGGACATGAACATCTTACAAGTGATAGCGAAAATAAATCACGCAACCCTAATTTTTTTGAATGAGTTAAACGAAATTAGTTGTGGTCCTGATCTTTAGACAGCTTTTAATATATATCTTTTGAGAAGGATGATAAGATTTATGCAAAAGTAAATATCAAATTAATTTAAGATATGATTTTTCTCCTTTTATTTGTTCAACTGAAATATATTTTGAATATATCAAGTACTTCCTTACAGTCAAGAGATCAAAGGTCGTTAAAATATACAAAATAATCTAAGAACATCAACATCTAATTGCTTATATGCCATGCTCAGAGAGAATTACGTGACATTTTATATACACAAGTAACAGCTTTTTAAAAAGCTTGCCTGACTAAATCAATCAATATCTGCATGAGGAGTGATAAACCTTTTGAGCAATACTTTTGTGGGTTTAAAATATGTCCATTACATTTTGAAAACCTTTTGTAAGTCGGGGGGGGGTGCAAGTGGAGTGATCTGTCCTTGGATCTAAATTGAAAGCTACATTACACCTGTTAAGAATTGTTATTTCGTTTGGGGGAGTGGGGGGTCTGCAAGTGGAGTGATCTGCCCTTGGATCTAAATTGAAAGGTACATTACACCTGTTACATAATATCTGTAATATCTGTTATGAAGTCATGCATTGTAAACATTTTAAAGGGTGGATATAATTTAAGGATAGATGATACAAACAAACTTTTGTCATAGAATTTAAAAATAACAACTTGGGCCATGTTTTAATGAATAAAATGAATAGCTTTCACCGCGTAGTTTTTAATTTTTTATTCAAATTTTGTACAAAAATGGAATTTAAAGTGAAAGATATTCGTATAGATTAATGAGGATGGTTTCAGAAGGGCAGACTTTTGAACATCACAGAGGTTTAAAATTTCTTTATATTCTAGAAATTTATTATTTGCATCATTTGCAATGAAACTAGGCCAAAAAATATATACCAATCCAGGCATCCGTTTTTTGTTTGTATCATCTGTCCTTAAAGTACACATTTTGTCGGAGTGTATTTATCCCACTGAAGTAAACAGTAGAAATGTGTGTTAATAGTTTTTGTTCTTAAAAAGGAAGGGGGGAGGGGGTAGTTCCACTATCATATATTGAGAATGAAATAAGAAAATTCAATATTTAGGCCTTTGTGGAAAGAAAAATCCAAGATTTTGTACTGGTTTCTTATCTATTGTGTGCATCTGAAACGGGGATACAAATGTACCATGACTTGTTGCACTGCGTTGGTCATTATTGGACTAGTCCATTTATATAGTAAACAAACCGCGGGATCGGGAAGCAAGTTAGAAAAAAAATCATTTCTCTAGTGTTGCATGTCCATATACTGATATATGCGATATGTTACTTAAAATAATGAGATAAAATTTGTAAATAGAAATTCTGAAGTATTAGAAGGAGGTTAAAAGGACAAACTTAATTTTATTCCATAGACGTACGTTAGCTCACCCATTCACACAATAGAGCAATCCAAGGAAGCTTACTGTACACATTTGGCGCGAAAAGAGTGATTCACCCCTTTCGTACAATATATATGGAATGATCCAGTAGTATAGAGATGCAGAAAAAAAGGATACACGGACATGTTGAAACGGTGAATCACACAGAATAATTGTTCTATGCAAAAAAAATTAATGAAAGTAAAAATTACAATATTTTGCATCAGTAATATCATTCTTCTTTCTGAAAACTGTTTCTTATAAAATGCAGGTAAAGAATTCCAATGTAAATCAGCTTGCACAAAATCTAGCTCTCGAGGTATCATCTATTAGTTTCGGATCTTGCAAATATCAATCCTTATACAGCCTGACGCCGTGACGTCAGGCAAAAAAATTATTTACGTTTATTTCCTATGTAGTTGTAACAGGAGCTTTGATTGGTTAAGAGTCTGGTGTAAATTTCCGTGCACACGACTTGACCCGGGGGTAAATAAAATGTGACGTCACAATGCATACATGTACATTCTCTATGATAAAAACCAAATATCATGACGTTACGATGCATTGTAGAATGGAATTATCTTAACGGTAGATACATAGTTGATTAGACGTTTTCAAAGAACTTTTATGGATACATAGGAAATGAATTCGTTATTCAGATTCAAACAAGGATGTACGGTGATTTACCCAGGGTTGTATTCCATACACCCTTCGGCCTTTGGCCCTCGAGTGTATGGAATAAACCCGGCGTAAATTTGGCCTCAGCGTGTATGGATTAAACCCAGGGTAAATCCCCGTACACCCATGATTGAACCTGGATAACTAATGATAATTATTCTATGCAGCAAAAGGAAAATAGGTATCTATTGAGAAATTATTTTAAATTATTTTGTTTTGTGATATCTTTTGGTTTTATTATTATACTTATTATTATTTTGCTAAAGAATTGCCTGAGCATTCAACTCCAAACATGGAAGAGACATTCTTTGACACCAAAGGTAGAGTAAATATAAATATTGTATCTTATATACTGTTGAAAGTTTGAATTTTTATTCAAGATTGCTATCTCCGAGGGTTTTCCGTTCATAGAAATTTCGTGGACTACATTGAAAATTACTTAAAAACATTCATTTGATAAAGTATAAGAAAGTATTGTTTTTATTAAATCCATGTCTCTTTTTATTAATAAAAAGGTTCAAACAAAAACAAAGCACATATAGTTATATTTTATCAGATACAAAAAAGACACATAATCATCCCCGCAGACTAAAACGAAAATCCTTAACGTTACCCTCCGTAAAAAGCTTAATAAATTTAATTTTCCAAACATAGTCAACGTTTATCAGAACACATTTCTTAGGTTGAAAAATTTGTGCAAAAACTGTTCAGACCTCAAACGTAAAATAATACTTTACACTTCTGTCTAAGATCCTTCAAAACATCAAACCCTTGTACACGTAAAAACGACTTTATTTACGGAAAGGCAGAAAAAGTCACGTTACGAAATTCATTTTTCACAGCAATGCAATCTCGGAATGATGGTCTTCCTTCACGCATGTCACCCTATAAACTGTTCCTTCCGTCAGAATATCTTATATGCCATTTAAGTACTAAAATATGGCTTCCTTTCCAATGTTTTCACGACTGTTTACAGAATTTATGGGTTTCTGTTAGTGTTTTTGCGATATCTATGCAGAATTTTGTCGCTGCTCTTTGCTCCATTTTTCTCAAAACGTCCCTTTATCCTCTCACATTATTATGTATAGAAAAAATCAAATATTTATAATCATTGATCTAACATTTTGTTGACGTTATTATAAGTTTAAGAAATTCTGAGAAAAACGGGTTGTTTTATTTTCATGAACAGAGAAGAGCTTGTAAATATGCATGCAACAACCATGGACGTTGTTTGCATATCACCATGCATATCCATTAAATTTCACATAAATTTATTTCCATAAATGTAATACTTCCATATCTTTATGAATTTCGATTAAAACATTCGAATTTGTATGAAATTGTTTATTCAGTCCACATAACAATTCAAGTTTACATATAAAATGATATTACTTCCATTTGTTTTAATGATTTACAATATTTTTTCCATTCCTAAAAAAGTCGACTCAATGTTTTTATGTTAATAAGACTAGGAAATATCACAGTCAAAATTTGAAACTTGTTGATATTATGCTAAATTATTTGTGTTTAGTTCGGTGTAATTTTTTAATGTAAAACAACTGTTTGATTTGAAATATTCCTCTCTCTTTCATTTGCAGTTTTACAAACATAAAAAGATTTAAATTCAACAGATACATGTAACCTTTTGGTTGTCATTTAACATCTTAATTTTTATACATGAATTTGTTTAAATTCAAGTTTAATTACAAGTAATGGCACGTGAAACATCTAGATTATAAATTATATATACTGTATAGGGGATTAATTTCACGGGTTGTAATTTTCACGTTTTTCTCTTATCTGACATGATCGCGGTTTCTTGAATTCGCGGAATTGGTATGTAATAAAAGTTGCTTCCTTGTCTCCATTTAATCCATAGCTACATATAAACGACATTAATCAGCGTTATGTCTTTATTTCACGAACAACAGGGAAAGTTATTATAAAATTGTTAGATTTTATAAATAATTAATTAACACAGTTATTAATAGTCCCTAAACGTTAAATGACTTTCCTATATGCTATTACGATGAGTGCATGTGCACCCGAGATCTTCAATACAATGCAGTGAAAAACTACTGGACGGAAATAAAACTTTTTATGCAGTTCTACGAAATAATATATTTCAACACTTCCTTCGTCAGTAAGTTCGATATTTATTTCAATGATGGTAACACATGGTAACATTAGTTACGCACGGGTAATCAAAACCCATGGCCCACAAGTTTTGATTGATGAAACATGTAGCGTTGGCTATTAAAACAGCTTTTGAACAAACACAAATTATTATCTGCCGATTTGAATTAAAGTAAAGCGTGATACTTAAAATTACTTAAAATTAATTGAATGGCAGTACTACTCGCAATTACTGAAATGACCATGGACTGCACGAACACCTATATAAATCTACCGTAGTCTATTCTCAATTTTCCAAATAAATCATGAAGATTATTGAAAATTTATTCACTGTTTCTTGAATTCACGGATTTGGTAACACCGTGAATATAGCGAATATTAACATCGCGAGTTATTTTCCCCATATACAGTAATTTCAAACGATTTTAGATTACTCGGAACTCTTTCTCTTGCGCATGACGTTTTCCATACGCATTGATAGGTCATTAGATGTATTTAAACACTGAGTTGTCCACGGACTTTTAATTCTCGATCATGACAAGGAGCACACGGCGGGTGTTACCGGTCGGCACGGGATATTCACCCCTCCACGGCACCTCATCCCGTCTCTGATGTTTCGGAGCTCTGTGTTTGCTCTGCTACTTTGTAATGTTTAATGGACTTTTGAGTTCAAACACCGTTCGTTATCTCCAACTATTTCTGTAAATATTGATTTGCTTTATATCATGTTATAAATAAGTGAAATATTTATCAGATATTGTCTTTCCAGAAACAAGAATTACCTTCTATACATAAGACTGAGTAATCTTATGAGCAGAATTCTGTTTAAGTCTTGAATTCTCCGGTTTGATAAGCAATCTCATTTCTGGGTCTCGTTTGTGATAATATGAACCGTTTAGATACGAATTCATAGGATTCTAATGTATGCCTATATATTTTGAGCTAATTATAGCTAATAAATATATTTTCAGCTTTTGCAGTCTGGTCTAACATCATCAGTTTAATATTTGGCGCTTCTGTACCAACACTTATCTTTGCTGTCTACAGTAGTAGAGCGCGATCTGTTGAGAATCCTCAAAATTTGTAAGTGTTGTCTTTTATGCCTACATATTCGATTACGGGCGTATATAGTTTTAGTCCTGTTCGTCCGTCTGTCTGTTTCTCAGTTTTTCCGCAAAAACAGTAACTTTGGTCGTAATTTTTGATTGGATGGGGTTATTGCCTTCATATTTCACAGGTGCATTTCTTGTGACAAGACATTTTTGGGGTACTACCAATTTGCATATCCTGACCTTGTCTTTGTTGAGTTTCACCCACTTTTCATAAACAAATTCTGAATTTTAACCTTTGTCATTCCTGTGAATAGTTGGTGCTAGGACTTTTATACTTCATTTGTACATTTACTGTGACAAGACCTTTCAAGAGCTATAAAAATATTTGGCCTTTTAACCTTGTCATTAAAATTTGATCTACTTTTACAAAACTAAATCTCTGGACCATAACGTTTTAACCGTTTATACTAGGTCTTCCATATTTCACAAGTGCTATTGATATGACAAGACCTTCCTTTCATAGCAATAATTCTGAACTTTTGATCTTGACCTTGGGGTTTAACTTGTAAGGGAGAAACATAAGTCTTCAATAAGCTGTCATACGGGGCATCAGTATTTCACAAACACATTCTATTGCTTACTTTATCTTTTTAATATATATTTCAATCTGGAACTTTAATGTGCAATAAATAAAAAAAAGCACACATAGATATGATGAGCCACTTAAAAATTTCATTCAAGTCTTAAAAAAGGGACATTTTTCATTGTTTACAAATCAAATTTTCTTCTTTTACTTTTCACAAAAATTATTGAATTAAGATTGATGTTTTGGGTGATTAGAAATGATAAGAAATAAATGTGATTTTTACTAACAAAAGCTTCGAACGGCGATCTTCCAAAACAGAGGGCGTTACTTTGTACAGAAAGACAAATGATGGCAGCGAAATGGTGAGATTTTCTTGATTACTTATTATTTCATAGTATACTGCACTATGACGGTCGGTTTTTAAGAAACATGAGTTAAATCATACATTGCAGAGACGCAAGACAAAATGTTATAAAAAGAGTGCTGCTAGCATTGAGGATATTCACGAAGAAAACGATCGAAATCATGACAATGATCAAGACCCATGCCTCTACAATCATCTAAATGAGAAGGAGGAAATTGAAAGCGTTAGTGAAAACAAGTATAGTACAGCTGAAAGGGCAATACACAATGACGCAGAAAACACTTATGCTCAAGTCCAATCTCGCAAAGGCAATTCGAAACAATTGAATATTGACGATGTTTACATGCCAGTAACTCTAGAGAATGATTTGTAGAAGTGCATACAATTTGATCATGCATGATTTTTATTTTGCTTCAAGGAACATTGTCAAGGGAAGACGTTTTCTTCCTTAAAAAACTGTCCATACATTGGTTCCAATGGTCCGCATACAGAAGAAGGGTAAACACTAAAGACAGGTTCGAGTTAGTTACTGGACAAAAGAAAAGTTAGTAAAAACTATGAAAAGGAAACTGTTTTGTCATTCATGCAAAAAATAATTTGTTATTTTTTACTTCTTTATTTTATAATTAATAATTTTGAGTTGTTTCATTATATCAACACTCGCACTATTTTATCTAATATTTTACTAATAAAATCTTTAAAGTTTGGAAGATTTCATTGCCTTACAACTTAAAAAGAAAAAAAGAACATTATAAGAAATGATTGGATATGTCCAAATGTTTTTCTTGCAGTAATCATAATTAGAAAAAAAACTTAGAATAATACTTGTGATAAAATGTAATGAATGGTCAGAATACATATAAGTTCAAGATAGTGCTAATTTAAAATAAAAGAGGAAACGCAATTATGAACGTAAGTAAGTGGATACTTGTCAGATGAGGATGTTGTGTCAAGTACTTTAAATGTGTATTTATTCGTTTTGTTTTCCTCATAAAAGTATTAATTCTTATAAATAAAAAAATCAGACGTTTTATACTACAGTAGATTCAAAATTCGATTATAAAGACGTCCGATGAACTTATCGAATTACACCTTTTTTGTCCCCCGCTTGAAAAGTGGGGGATATTAATTTGGGTTTGTCCGTCCGTCCGTCTTTCTTTCTATCTGTAACGCTTTCGTTTCCACACGATATCTCGAGAACCTTTTGAGCTTTTGCAATGAAATTTAGCATAGCAACTCCCTATGGACTAAAGAAGACCCCTATTGATTTTGAGGTCAAAAGGTCAAAGGTCAAGGTCATAAATAAGCAAATTCTGTCTGTTAAAACACTTTCGTTTCCACACGATATCTCTAGAACCATTTGAGCTATTGCAATGAAATTTTACATAACAACTCCCTGTGGCCTAATGAAGACCCCTATTGATTTTGAGGTGAAAAGGTCAAAGTTCAAGGTCGTAAATTTATACATTCTGTCTGTGTGTAACACTATCATTTCCGGGCGATATTTCAAGAAGATTTTGAGCTTATGCAATGTAATTTTATACCAAAACTCCCTAGGACGTCTCTCGCCCCTCTCAAAGTGCCCCACCCCGTTTGTTTTATTAGTATTTATAGTATTACATGTCGCTATTTTTAGCGCAGGGGCATGAGGAGAGTTATTGCGTATAAAACAGGTTCTCGGCGGACTTTATGTTCTTATTACATCTATTAGAACTGTTTAATAATGGCTAAATAAATCAAACACCATTTGAGAATACCGAACATGAATATATACATGTATGTGACTTTACTTCTGCATATACTTGATACCGGCTAGAGCGATTCCGTGGTCTAGTGGTTATGTCACTCGCTTCACATGCGAGAGGTCCCGGGAACGAATCCCAGTCGAACTTGTCTTTTTTTTTCTCTTTTTTTTAAATACTTTTCTTTTTTTTATTAAATGATAGTATTCAGCATGTGAAATGAAAAATTTATGAGGTTATAAAATCATCATTACAGTGTGATAAATATTCCATATAAAAAGAATCTTCTATACACATAATAAAGAATAAGCAATCAGATCTTTATATGCATATTGACATACATGTATTTTATTTGCTTCAGTATACATGTATACATATAATAATTCTACAAATTCAGTCAGGGGGATCCGACTTTTTCCCTAAGCGGGGGAGACGAATTCTCTGAATTAGCTTGTTTCAAATAGACGGTAGCATCAATAAATTAATATTCTATTTATGAGATGCTTACTACTCTTCATATGCACCTGATCCGACCTCTGAAATTGCAGGAGTTCTTTGAAGATGCTCTATGTATAGATTTGTTCGGTAAATTATTACGGATTGACCACTTTTTTTACCGTTACCTATTACACTTAATGCAATACACAATGTATTGATATGTAATGTCCTCTTAAAGTGTAAATTCAGCTTTGCCTAACCAATGCATGGGTCCAGGTAGAGAGTATGACCGGAGGAGGAGTAAATATTTACATTGGGAACATTTTTCTGAAAGAAAAAGGGGGTCTGACAGTCTAATTAATGTGCATTAAGCATCCCAATTGTAGTGTACTTTTTATTAATTTTATAATCAGTTGTGTCAATGAAGTATTTGAAGTATACAGAAATCGTGACGCAGGGAGGATTCATAACTTTATCCCCAGGACCAGGTAACTGTTATATTAAAGTGCAAATAGAAACAATACAGTACACATCTTGATTTCCGGCTTTAGACTAAGTATATCATTGGAATAACTAGAAATATATATATATATATATATATATATATATATATATATATATATATATATATATATATATATATATATATATATATATATATATATATATATTTCAAGGGATACTAGTACACAGAGTATATTATATTCATTTGATAAATTAGATTGACATGTATAAAGTCTCAATTCCCTAGCTTCTGTCAGGAAGAGTTAAGATATTCAGGAACAAAAATTATCAAAATATTATAAGACTTTTTTTTCATTTTTTTTTACAGCAAAATATTTTCATTTCATTTTTTTCTTTTGTTATTCTAATACATGCTTTTATTTAACTACTTTCTATCATGTTAATTCATTATACTAACATTTATATAAGTAAACATTCGAGGTATTATTTTTCTAATCTTGCTTAAATTGGTAAAATGTCAACCATTGCAACAATTGACAATAAAATATTGCATAAAACTGTTAGAAGAAGGAAAAATAACACGGACCAATAAATGCCAATTGCTGATAAAATACTTACATATACTCTCAATAAAATTCATTTTGAGTATATTTATAATTGTTTATCATGATGTTGATATACAAAAACAACAAATGAATGGATAGTATTTAAGTGTCGGACTGAATCCTAAATTCACAAATTACATTAACATTTTTCAAATTTGTTACGAATAATTATCTTTTAGAACAAGGAAATTAGAAAGTTTCTTGTATTGAATTATGCATTTGTATGGATTACAGTTTATCAACCACAACCGTTTAAAAAAAATCAAAGGTGTACAATGGCATCGGGATTTTTTTTAAAAATTCTTTTTAGAATAATTACCTCAAAATGCCATCTTTATATGCAATATAGACAGTCTACATTAAATTTTAAACCGTTGTCCCATGATCAGGTATTGAGGGAGGATAATTTACTTTAAACCTTTCATGAGATATTTTTATCAAAATATTTCCAAGAAAAGATAGGATATAAATCTGTACCGTTACCCTTTTAAACTACTGGGAAAATATTAAATTCGTCTATTTGAAGACCATTTTTTAAATAGATGCAAACATTCTTTTCGCAAAATCGTACAATTAAGGGGTAGTTCCAGTAACAAATTTTCAATAAAAAACATTTCTGAATGCATTTTTAACCCAGTTCTGTTAACAATATGTCGAAATTTCAATGGATATTAGCAGATCTATTTTGGTATCATATGAAGTGCTTTTGCATAGACTTATACATGCGGTGAGGCAAATTATTGTCAAATAAATTGATGAAACAAAAATGTCGACATTCTTTTTCAAATCTACTTTCGTAAGTTCTATGGTCTTTTAAATTGTCTTGACAGAAAATACACTGAAATCTTTCTATGCGTATGTTCTTCATCTACAGAATGCAGACTATTTTTTCAATTTATTAGTGAAACGGAAATGGTTGTTGTTTAGTTTCGTATAAACGTTAGATCTACGTTTTTGTTTAAAGTCTTCAACATTAAAAAAAATTAATTTTACGTTAATACAAGTAGTATGAAACTGTCATTGTACTGGGGCTGCACTGGAATAATACACATAGTATTAGAGTGCGTTTGAGACCTCTCAGATGACGGAATAGACAAACCTTTGCTCGCTTATTGCCTAACATACTATTGTGAGACCTGAACAAGGCAGATAATTGCGTGGAATAGACAGTGAAGGGTGTAGTGATAACCAAAAGCGTAAGACCTGAATAAGGCAGTCACTTGGTTATACATAGAGGTGGCATACCACAGATAAAGGTGGGGGAAGTGCCAGAAGACAGTACTTGTGGAGTGGCAGGACAAGAGAAATTTATTTGCGGGAGACACCCGTTGACCACAGACAGTGGTTGTCTAATCACGAAGAAACCAGCTGTATTATTGTATTTGTATCTTTTATTTGGTCAACAAAAACCTGAGGTAACAGGTTAACGAACCTAAGTGTAACGCCTGGTGATACAAGCCATATCAACGAACACCAAGCTCGGCCGCTTTGCACGTTACATTATTGATGTTGTCCAACGCAGGCTTTTAAAGTTGGCACGTCGGTTTGTTAAAGCTTAATATTACAATATTAACTTTTGCAAATATCTTTCTTAGATGAACCTATTGAAGAGAAAATATGTTCAATTCTGTGTGAATGTTATTTGGGGGTCAGAGGTCATAGCGCGATCGAATCACTCTAGCGATGTGATATTTTGACCAAACAACTTCTATGTCATTGCGCGTCACTACATAGTAATACGTTGGCCTGTTCGTGAAATAAATATGATTTAACTCGAAATGTATTCGTTTCAAATGCAAATATAAGTAATAAACAACAATGTTAAAAAGTTCACTGGGAAATGAACTTTTAGTTGGTACTACTGAGAAGCCCTTCGGGCTTCACAGGATTTGATCACCTGTTGTTTATTTCTTAAATAGTAATATTTCTAATTATAAAAAAATATTCTTCCATTATATCATATTTCAAGTTGAAATCTAAACCCTGTATTTTCTAGAGATATTCGCAAACTGCTGCGTACAAACTTTTTTAATTATAAACACAATATACAGTTCCTAGACATTTAACATCTCAGGGCACGCCATTATCGATGATTAAATATATTGTAAATGAAGACTTTGAAGTAAACATTATAAATCAGAGATCCTAAATACAGTAGACCAGATCTTTCAATTGGTGTCAGAACGTCATTCAATCTTTATTTCTATCAAAAATTATGCCAAAGGTTGGCCTAGATATAAAAAGGAAGATCTGAATTCTTTGCCAGATCAAATTGATTAAGAAATATATAAAAATATTCGTATTAAAAAATAAAATTCAAAATGTTTTCATTAAACAGCAAGTGATAAAGGCTGTAAAAAATCTTTATGAACAATATACAATGGTTCGAGCAGTCAAATCTTGACGAAAGCATTTTTTTTGTTTGTT